AATATGAAGTACAAGATACGTACATAACAAATCACACTATTCATACATCTTTGTATGTCATATAATATAAGATAATATTCTCTTCACCATTTTAATTTTAAGATTTTAACATAGTTGAATGAATAATATAAGATGTTGAGTTATACAAAGTCATGTGCAAGATCCCAATAATACACAAACTCTTTCTTAAGAGATGAGATGAAAACTGAGAGATGGAAAAGTGATCAAAAAAACAAGAAAAAAAATCTTGACAACCTGCATACAATTCATAACTTAAATCAATAATATGGACATACAAACTTTAGAAAGTGATGGTTTGATTTAGGTGGCTGTGAAGCCCCCGTTATTCCTCAGTTTGTTTCTTGTGGGCTTCTTTGGATTTTCATTAAAAAATTAATTAATATAATTAATTTTAAATAAGAAAAATATAACTAGAGGTTCTTGCACTTTGCTCAAGTTTTGTTATAAATTTTTGTACTTTTTTTAATATTTTAGGTCCCTACACTTTTATTTTTAGTATTATAGGTATCTCTAAGGTCCTTACACTTTGTCCATTTAAGGATCTAGAACATCGAAAAATGAAATTGTAGGGATCTAGAATATTAAAAAAAATATAATAAAATGGGAGCAAAGTACATAAACCCAAAGTTATATTTTTTTTTAAATATAATTAATTATGTTATATGGTATATGATTGATTTATAAAATTAATTAACAAGATTGATTTTAATTGGAATTAAAAAGTAGAATTAAAAGTAAAATTGAAAATCAATAAACTAGAATCGATGATTCAGGTGGATCAGCCTTATTCGAGCTTGGCCCAAATTGGCTCGAACATCTTGGAGCTCTGAGCAGGCTTTGATACTTAAATTATCAATTTTTTATTTTTTAAAAAAATTAATTTTAATTTAATTTTTAGTATAAAATTATAAAAAATAAAAAATATATTTTTAAAAACAATGCGAAAGAGTTAAATTTGTTTTAAAAAATTATGTGGATCTTAAAATTTAAAAATAAATATTAAAATACATTTTAAACGTCTTAATATAAAATAATAAAAATTATATTTTATAGATTTAAAATAATAAAAATGTGACAATATAAATATTTGTTAAAAAATCTATAACAATATAGTTAAATATATAACATCTTAATATAAAATGACCTAAAGCTTAAATAACTCATTAATATTTAATATATGATATAAATTTTTTAAAATTATTTTTTTTATATTTTGGCATCCGGACTTACCCAAAATATATTTAAAAAGTATAATTTTATTGAATTTGTGCTAAATTTTTTTGGCCTTATTTAAGATGGCTCATTAGGCTTCAATCATGTCATGTTACATGTTAAAATTGATTGTAAATCTAAAATTATATTTTTCTTAAGACATCTAAACACCTAATATACATGCTAAAATTAATTATAAACTTAAAATTAATTTTTTAAAAAATATCCAAATACTTCTATACATATCAAAATTAATTATGAATCCAAGACTATAGTTGTCACATAAGTTACTATTATCTAATTATCAATTCAACTTTTCAAATATACTTTTTTAAAATGTTATCTAAAAATTATAAAACTATTTTATAAATTATATTTTTAGGTTCATAATTGATTTTGATGTATATAAATGTGTCTGGATATTTTTTAAAAAATTATAATTTTAAATTTATAATTAATTTTTCATATATAACCAGTATTTAATTTTTTTAAATAACTTTAAATTTATAATTAATTCTAACATGTAAAAAAATGTTTGGATATGTTTTTAAAAAACCATAATTTTAACATTTAAAATTGATTAATTTAATTATCCAAACAGGTACTTTATGTGTGCGGGTCGATTGTGGGACCCGCCAATGTGAATCATAAATAGATCCAACGCACCCACTTTACAACGTTACTCTTTCTTTTCAAACATTTGTGTATTTTCGCATGCGGCCAAAAAATGCTAGCGAGCATTTCCTTCTTTATAGGTGCCGTCCTTTCTTTGACAAAGTCTTTCACTCTTTCTTTTCAAACCTCGAAAAAAGTGGAAAAACATTAAAAATTGGGGGGGGGAATCATTTTTAGCATTTAATAATAAAAAAGTATTATTTTTACTTTTTCTTTTCCTTTTATCGTGTTAACCTTTTCGCTTTTGGTAGGTGTAATGTAAATTAAAAGACGTGACTAACCAGGACAAAACTTGATTAGCCATGCCAGCTAGCTCTGTTTCTAAACTTACAAACCCCTCATGCCAAGCAAGGATTTATTAATTTATTAATTAAAATCATAAAATTCATGCATGCTTTAGCCAAAAGAGAGGGAGGGGAGTTATATTCCTTTCATCTTAAATTATAAAATATTTTAAAATAAAATTTTACATATTAATAAATATCATTAAATATCTTTAACAATTTTAATTTTTTAAAATAAAATATAAATTTTTAAAAATACTCGTCGTTTAATACATTGAACGAAAAAGACATAAGTTAATAATAAAAAGATAAATGATAATATTAAAATAAATTTATTTAATAAAATTTTAATTTTTTTTAAATGTCTTATATTTTGTAATATTAAATTTTTTTAAAAAATATTTTATAATTTGAGACAGATGAAATATAAAAGAAATGATTTTCTTTTTAAATTCGTTGACATATTTTCTCTCGTAAATCAACGATGCAAGAAATCTCACACATTATTTTGTTTGTGTATGTCCGAGAATTTGTCACAAAAAATTGATGTATTTTTTTTACATGATTGTCAATTTTAAAGAAGGTAATATTATCAAAGGAATCATAAAGAGAATTATGGCATTGCAGGCCATTTCGTCTTGTAAGTATTTGCCAGTATGCCACTAACTGTTATACTTTTTGGGTAGAGCTAATATGCCAATGACTAATTGTTAATGCTTTTTGTTAGAAATCTTTATGTGATATTAAATCATTTCATTTGTCTTTCATTAATATTCTCCCATTAAGTACTTATAGGTCATAGTCGGCGAAATATACTCCTTACATCTCTATATACAACATGATATTTTTTAATAATTAGATAATTTTATCTTTATCTTAAAAAACAGAAGAGATATTAATTATATGCTCCACTTGTTATCACCATAATATTAATTAACATTATTAGGAATAAAATTAAAAAATTATTATTTTCAACTAAATAATAAACTTTTATTAGCATGTGAGATTTGATTAAAATATTTTACATATGGGCATGAGGAGTAGATTGGGAAAAAAAAAATCCAAACTATTGACTTCTTATAAACTTTGACATGATCTAATTATCATTTCTTGCATTAGATTTCCATGATCTTATGATTAAAAAAGAAAAAAAAAACTAAACAAGATTTGTAGCTGCGAGTGAGATAAAATATGAGCCACATCTCTCTCTTTTTTTTAAATGATTTCTCTGTCCTAAATTATAAAATATAATCATACATATTAATAAAATAAAATAACAATACATTATAAATTTATCTTTTCATAACAAAATTATAAACTTTTAAAAATACCTACACACTTCATCATTACTCCTTCTTGACCAGTGACCACACTATAAAGTATAATTAATTAATTTATAATTTATGAATAATGTTAGTTAAACTCTTAACTTTTTAAATATATTCACATCTTTTATTTATATCCTTATTAAATATTCTATATAAGAGTATTGATAATGATAATTACAATTTTAATGTATGATTTTTTTCAAGTTATAATTAAAAAAATAAATTTAAAAGTTATCTAATATCTTATATTTTAAATCAAGTAAAGTTTTTACAAAATGTCTTACCTTATGATTTGAAAGAAGGACGCTACAGTATTATTTTAATTTTTTCTCTACTTTTAAGTATGATATTTTTCAAATTATTTTATAACTTAAGAGAGGGGAGCATATTTAAAAGCAAAAGAACGACAGATTGACAGTAAAGCCGCACCAGCATGGGTGGGACTTGGGAGCAACACTTGCATAAAGAAAACAATACATATAAATAAAAAAAAATTATAATAATTTTTTTAAATTATATAAATAAAAATTTAATTCCTTTAAAAGTCATAACTCACTAAAATTTTTAATAATTTTTTTTATTATTAATAAATTTATATAAATAATTAAATTGTTCTGGTTGAAAATAAAATCATCATAAATTTTGTTTAAACAATCACAACTTTTATTCTTTATATTTACAATAATATAACAGTAAATCATAACTTTACATGTTAAATTTTTAATATTTTTATAAGTATTAAAAATAACAAGTAATGATTACAAATTTTGTTTCAATGGTCACAATTTTTTTCTTATATTTTTAATAATACAACAATAAATTATAACTTTATATGTCTAATTCCCGATATTGCTGCAAGAAAACTTTAATTATTTATATAAATTTATTAATGATAAAAATTTTTTAAAAAATTTTAATACAATTATGATATTTTAATAAATTTAATTATAATTTATATAATTTAAAAGAATTTTATCTTTTTTTTATAAATAATTATATTATACAAAATGAATTGAAATTGATGAGTTGTTGTTGAGCTGATAGATGACAGTTGGCAGTTGGCAGTTGGCGGAGGGAGAGAGATACGGTGGGGGCGTAATAAACAAGAAAAGGAGAAAAAAAAAAAGGAAATGAAAAAGGGAAATGAAAATGGAGGGTGGGGGGAAATGGAATGGAAGCAGCTGGTACAACCGCTCACATCCATGTAACTAACGCCCTCACGTCTCCTATGCTGCTCACTCCCTCCCTTCGTTCTCATGCTCTCTCTGAAAACTATTCCTTCTTTTTCCTCTTCTTCTGCTTCACCTCCACACCACCACCATCTTCGCCTGCTCTCTCTCTCTTTCGCTGCCTCTTCCCTTGTCTCATTGTTGGATTTGCATCACTTTAAATTAGGGTTCCGGGTATGCCTTTACTTTATTCCCCCCCCCCCCTTTTTAACTTTACTTTTTCCGTGCTTTCCTCTGCTTTAGTGTGTTTTCTGGGTGTTGCCATTATGGCCGGATGTCACTATCTGGGGTTTCTATTTTCGTGTGAACTGTAAGAACTGTATGATTCTGGGTTCGCGATTATGTTGCGCTTCCGTGATTGTGATGGTCCGGTGTAATAAATGTGGCTAGAATGTGCTTGGAGCTTGCATTTTACGTTTTGAAAAGAATAAATGCTCTTCGGCTTGATTTCTCCTATGTGAATCACCGCGTCATGGTTTAAAAAGATAAACGTCCTATTGTTCTTGATGCCTAACTCAAGTTCATACGACTTTTTCTGTTCCCTGTTTAGTTTAAATCGTTGTGAGACTCATTTTGTTTATGAATTAGATACACCAAATAGAGCTTTACAATTATTTGATAATTTAACTGTGATCTTGGCCTTGACATGCGGCTTCACCTGATTGATTTTCGTTTTTATTGTTGAAGAGCCATGACTATGGAGCTTTTGGACATTGAACCTCATGAGCTTAAGTTTGCCTGTAAGCGCCTCCCGCCTCGATGCTGGTTCCGTGATTTATGCACGAATCTGATATAATATTTTTTTCCATATAGCTTACTGTTTCACGTAGTGACGCTGACTTTGCTCCTATTCTTCTTTGTAGTTGAACTGGAGAAACAGAGTTCATGCTTGGTTCAACTTGCGAACGAGTCGGATCAGTATGTTGCATTCAAGGTGTGGTGGTTGTTGATCCCCTCGGTTGTGCCATACATATCAGTATTTTGCTTTGTTTTGATTTTTTGTTGTTGTTAGCATTAGTGTCTCTTTGTCAATTGCAGCAATATCTGCAATCTATGATCTTTACTGGTAACTCTCTGTATAGTAGATGCATAATTAAAAGTTATTCATTTCTGAATTGTGAAGAAACATTTGTAAAATTTATAAGCACATTGGCAGGTGAAAACTACGTCACCCAAGAAATATTGCGTGAGACCAAACATAGGCATCGTTAAGCCCAACTCAAGAAGCAATTTTACTGGTATTTGCCTATTATCTTCTTCCAATCTAACAGCAATTTTAACTTTTTTAAAATCGCGCATATTTTTGACATTTTACTGTATATGGATGGACCGTTGCTCTGCATCTGTGCCTATTACACACCATCAAGCACAGATAAAACTACAACCGCTTTTTTTTGCCTATTAATGATTGACGTTTTTTGGTTGCATGCAGTTACCATGCAAGCTCAGCGCTCAATGCCACCTGATATGCAGTGCAAAGACAAGTTCTTGATTCAAAGTACGGTTGTCCCCTCCGGAACAACAGAAGATGGCATTACATCTGACATGGTAACGTTATATCATTAATTCCTTTTCTCCAAACCGTAGTCCCTATAGTGTTATAGGTAGAAAGGATTAAGAGTTTGCTTGTTAATATATATCTTTTCCGTTCTTGTGTTTCTTGATTGATTTAAAATTCTCTCTCCTGTGGCAGTTTGCAAAAGTTGATGGGAAGCTTATTGGGGAGAAGAAACTAAGAGTTGTCCTAACCAGCCCACCTTCCTCCCCTGTATTGCTTCCAGCGAATGGAGAGACGAAGCAGGATCCACCCAATGAAATTCATTTGCAAAGAGACAGGGTGTTGCGAAGTGGAGTCGAAAATGTCCCTCCTCCTTTTACGGTAAGCTATTCCCCATTCAAACCCCAATCTCTTTATTACTTAATTTGTGTTTCAAACCTTAATCCCCTTCCATAGCAGTTTCTGCAAAATCAATGGACACAGTAAAATCTTGTGCTTGTCAGTATTCTGTAGCTATCTTATTCATGGATATAACCTTTTTCCCCTTTTCTTTTTTTAATTAGTTTAGCATGATAGCAAAGAAGAGTTTTGTGCACCCTTGCTTGAAATCAAAGTCACCCTCTGTCTCTATTCCCTTTGTACCAGGATGCTGAGGATGTCAAGGGTTTTAAAACAGACCAGGATATGGAGCAGGACAGGGCAATCAAGGATAATGTCTCAAGACAAGCTGAGAGTATAGATGATATGAAAGTGAAAGATGCTATGCAGTTGAATTTAGATAAGGATTCTGAGGAATTGAAGTCAAGACTAATTTAATGGATTCAAAACTAAGAGAGGTCAGAGTTTTCGAGTTATGATTAAATTGTTTAATATCATGGCCTGGAAACCTTTTTGTCAAGTTCTTCAGTCCATGCGTTGCAGCCAGTGGATTTAATCCTATCACAATGGCTGGTGATAAAATTGTTGGAACTTTTGAGCTATATTATTTCTTATGCCATTTCACTGTTGTTTATGATTATCTCAATGGATCATCCAATTCTTGGATCCGGTTCCTTGAGTTGCAATCAACTGTTATTTGTAAATCTTTGCAGGCTGAACTTGTCATCGAGAAGCTTAATGCAGAGAGACGAGTGAGTACCCAAGAAAAATATATGCTTAAAAATGAATTGGTAGGTTATTTTTCATTTAATATTAGTCATTGTCAAAATTACATGAACTCTACTTTTCATATTCTTTAGTTCCTCGTGACAAAAGTGGGGCATAAAAAGCAGAGAGTTAGATAGCTCTTTGTTATAGATTTGGTTTGCATCTTTTCATGCAGCTTACTTTTTCATTTTTATTTTTAGCCAAGTTTTTCAAGAGTGAAACTAAAAGATGAATGGCTTTTACCAAAGTACCAATATTTTCATGCTGGAATTTTTAGTGAAAGGAAGAAAAATATAGTCCTGCCATTGAGAACATATAGATGTAGTAGGTCTGTAGGTGTTGTGATTGTCTGATTGGCAGTACAGATGCCTGTATGGAATACATCCTTGATTGAAGCTGTAAAACTCATTATAGCTGCTGAGCAACCATTTGATTCTGGTTTGTTTGACCTTTCTAGGACGCGTTGAAGAGGAGAATCAATGCGAAAAGTGTTCAGGTGGGCTTTCCGTTACTGTATGTTTGCATGGTCGCTCTTATCAGTGTCGCAGTCGGATACTATATTCATCCATAAGAGAGAAAGGTCAAATGAACTTATCATTGTTTATTATGACGGTATTAGCGGGGGAAATGTTAATATATGCGGCATTGGAACCTTTGTGAAAGACATGTAAAATGAACTTCGCCCTTCCATGAAAAGCATAATAATCAGCCATCTGGTACTTTTATCTTAATTTATGGATTACTTAATAACATTTTTATAGACACTGCTTCCCTCGAAATCAAGAGAAACAGAAAGCGGTCATTCTGTTTAATTACAATGATCGTATTCTACAATTTGTTCTAGCCAATCCCCCCTCTTTTGTCTCTGACAAGAAGGCAGTAATGAAAGGCCTTCGATTTAATCTTTCAGAATTATATGATGATGAGTTTAAAAAAAAAAAAAAAAAGAGCTAGGTAGACAGTTAAATTTATTTTCCACGGTCCTGCAAACAGAAACGGAACCATATGTCCCCACTTCGGAAAATTTGTACTAAAATGTTCAGTCTGGCCGAAAAGAAGAGGAATAGCTCTGGAAGCATCCCCGGAAAAAAGAAAAAGAGGGGGGGGGGGGGGCATAATATGCAACATTAATGTAAAACGCATCATACGAATCCAAAGCTAACAAATTTTTTTCTCATAAATAACAAACCTTTCATCGATCATCTGTATACGCTTACAAAATTTGCCTTAGAGGAATCAAGTCACAAACTTGCAAACAAGCAACCCACTCTAAAAAATCAGTAAAGTTAAACACATCAAAAAAACCAGCCCAACCAAAAATAACGTGCACACTCCTTTCTTGAGATGCTTGTGTTTTCTTCTTCTTTCTTCATATTTCTTCTTTTCCTTTTCGTATCATCTGAGGTAATTTTTCTTTCTTACAAAAGGAAGAAGGTATTAAAAAAAAAAAATGCACGCCGAAAGCCAGTTTTGCACGCAATAATCTTGTACACAATAGCCTTGAAGAAACTCACTCACTGCCATTGGTGACCGTTCTGCTCAAGGGGTGAACCAGGAACAAAGGGCACAAAACCCCGGCCACCAAAAACAGGTCGCATTACAGCATCATCAAATTTTCGCCAATAATGGTGGACGCCCTTTGTAGGTATGCCCAGGAGCAGACGCAAACTGCTAGGACGATGCCCATGCTGTGCACCATCATTACCCTCTGATTCTTGGCCATTCTCCAGAAGTGGCACCACGAACGACTTTGGGGTACCTGGAGGCGACGGTATGATGCTCTTGTGTTTTGAAACAGGAAGCAATAGCCTCACAAGTGGCTTGGTCATCAATCCAAACACCTGCACATGTCAACGTTGTGAATCCATTTCTGTCTCCCACATTCCAATACATGATTGGGAATCTTGACTAGAAATCATTTAGTGGGTCTGGTTTATATCTAATTCATTGGGTAAAATCCGGGGGCAATCAATATTCAATAGCCACTTAATAATCTCTGGACCCAGAAGGGGACAGGCGCCGGCCCCACTCTCCTCGTGAAAGGCTTAAACTTGAACTATATTGGCACCAAATGCTTGTAGAAGTAACTACTGATTAAAATTAAATATATGAAAAATGACATAGTTCTACGATCGAGGTAGATTAGAAAATGATCACAGCGTATCTTACCAGAGTGCTGAAGAGTATAACTGTGATGGTACTAGTGATCAGGATGGCATTCTCGCGCAATTTAGTATGGCCTGACCTGGTGAACTGCGTATGAAAAACGTAGTTCAATACTACCTAATATTCTGCCATGATTCTCTCGAATTAAGACAGCGCCAGTCCCAGATGGGTGAAATGAGAAGGGACGGTGTTTGATTCTTCACCTGATTATAGGCAAGTGCCATAGAAACTGCTCCCCGCATAAGGCCTGCCCACCAGATTGTTACCTGCAAAACAAAGATCCTTGGAGGATTGTGATCAACCGATCGATTATAGAATGAACAACTTATAGATGAAAACAGAAAAACTCGTACTTGTTGCTTGATCTCGATTTTCTCAGATTGAGACTTCTTAGGTAAGTTGGCTAAGAATGAGAGAGGGAAAACAAAGGCTGCTCTTCCCACTAGGATGAGTGCCAATAGCAATGAACTGATCCCAGTTGATTTTCCAGGACTAAGGAAATGATCGAGAAGTTAATGCCAACTTCATAAAAGCTGTACTAAACTGAGTTATTTCGATGAAGTCCATGTTCATTTAGAAAACTTCTAACCTTTGACGGGCAAATCTCCACTTCTCTATATCCAGTGCATCCATCCCAACGTAGAGGAAGATGAAGATCTCAGCAATGAAAGACAAAGTCGCAAAAGCATGTCTAAAGAAGGGAGAATGAAAACGATAAAATAAACGTTTTGACAGCAATGTTCTTTCACAAATGAGATTGAACATGAATGTTTCTTCTATTTGCGAACAAAGAGAATATTAAATTGGAGATTTGACATACTTAGTTGTTACTCTTGAACTTTCAGTCACATTATGCCACGTGTAGTGAGACATGACAATGCCGCAGAAGAACACGGTCAGAATGGCACTTAAATTAAATAGCTGCCAAGAAAAAAAAATTGATGGATACAAGCATCGTTTATATCACTGCGAGAATCATGGAGAACGCACAGTTCACTACAAAGAATGACCTACAACCAGAGATGAATCTTACTTCCGCTAGCATATATGAAAGGTAGGCCATGAGTATCATGAGGGCAACCTCACGGTCAGTAGAATGCCTGGTATTCGAGAAAAAACGAATGAGAGAATTATCAAGGAGATTCATCGAAACCAACAAATGGGTGTTAGCTAGATTCCAAAATCATTACAAATGTTACGGATTGATCTTTGCTATTTCATTGCTGTGTTTTTCTTATTTGGTTAATTCAGTAGCTTGCTGAGAAGTCAATATTCTTATTTGCTGAACACATATTCTTCTCCTTTTGAAACTAGCAGGAATTGAATTCTCCCCTAATGAACTAATGGCAATGAATGACAGTATCAGTTCGCTTTTAGCTTTAGCTTTACCAACCTGCCAAAATAAAGCGTTTTAATGATGAATGCGCTAAGCAATCCAGCCTGAAAGGAAATTGATTCTTTTTAAAACAAAATCTGATAAAATCAATTAAGCGCTGCGACATAGAGAAAGGGAGGGAGAGACTCACCAAGGCTCCCAGCACAGTGCTTGCTGTAAATAGATAGAAAAAATTTCCAATTAAGTGGAAACCAGTAATCAAGTCAATGTGAGAAAGGTCAAAATTCTGGATTGCTTTCAAGAGCACCACAGATGTCGCATCATTTACGACCCCTTCCCCGAAAACCAGGCTGTATAGTAAAGGGGTCTCATCCTGATTAAGCACCTGAAACATTGGATTTGAATATCATGTGAGGAAACTAATCTTTTACAACTAAAGATAAAGAAACTATGGAGTTTCACATTAAAACAGATTTATACCTGCAAGGTGCAAACAGAATCTGTTGCTGAAAATATTGCTCCAATGGCTGTATTCAAGAGACTCAGATCAGTAAATATAGGTTAAAAGAAGGGTGAACAAAGTCGCAGCGTTATCTTAACACTTGTACAGAAGGAAGTTCATTCGACCATACCAAGATAATCTCCAAGCTTCAGGGATCCAATATCCAATTTTGGGAAAAAGTGTATAGCCCCTGAGTCAAAATAAATATGTGAAATTAATAGAGAAATTTAAAAAAATAATAATAATCTTAAGAATTTACAGATAATAACATGGAATTTTACTGCTCTATTGGCACAGATTTTCCGTACTTAAATTACCTAGCGATATGACGCCAAAGGATATTAGAGTGCCAACTGCTCCAAAAGCATGATAGTCATAAAATTGCGAAAAAATTGTTTCTTCTTCACCTGAAACCTGTTGAACATTAACAATATTGCTATCAGTATTATGAGACTGTCAAATCTATTTAAAATGAGCACTCTCATAAGCTGTCGAGATGCAACGATACGTAATTACTTAGCAATTCACATACTATAAGAGCGGGCTCGACTATTTTCCTGATTCTGAATAATAAGTTGCCTGCCTTTGTTCTGAGAGCTTAACAAAAAGAAAAGAAGACTCTAGCTAGAAGGGAGATAAGGCAAGAGTGAATAACTCACCCGGCGTTGAAAATGATCGGCGGAAGAAGGTAAATAAAGAAAAGATCTTCACTGAAAACTAATATATGGGAGCTTTTTCCTCCAGTCGTCAGCAGTATAAAGATCCCAGTACAGAGACCCTGTAATTAGCCCACACAGAATCATATCTAATTCGTGATTTTTAAGTTCATCTTCATTGTTATACATTTAGAAAAGATGGAGAGCTTGCGCGTAGCAATAAACTCACAATGACGAGGGCAGTGTTGGATTCGTTAATCCATCGGTTCTCCTCCAGCAAATGACCGATTATGATGCAAGCACAGAGAAGCGCCACGAATAAGTTCATTGAGACCACTGAAGCGTGATCAGATGTCATCATTGTCGTTAATTTCGTGATCAATGCTTCGACAGCCATATTAGCAGTAGCCAGGTTCCAGAGAGTCGAGAAGGAGAAATCAGAATTCCAGAGTCAAGTTCTTCCTCAACGCTTGCAGCCTCAGGCTTGAATGCAGCAGTTCACAACTTCACATGCTTCCAGCTTTCACGCTCCTGCTCTTCAGACACAACTCTGCCAGATTAACCAATGTTGAAAAATAAATATATGTCTCTGCACACACACGCGCACACACATTTGTGTTTTTAACTTTTGCTTTTCGGTCGCTGGGAAAACGACATGAAAATGTCTTCCAGAGCTATCACATGCGAGTTCGGGACCACAAATACTGAATTCGATCTACACATCAGCCTTCCCAAATTGAAGAATAAAATCATGTGATGTATAATTCATTGTGATTTTTTGATAAGCAGAATCATTGATCATGTCCACAAAATAGAAGTGTGCAAAAGCATTTTTCCATGACCTCCTTCCTAAACTCTCTCACCGAGCAAACACACTCTGGTACTGGCATAGTAAGCAACAAAGAATACAAAACCTCTGATTTACACATTCATCATCGCGAGCTAAACTAAACATTCAAGCTCAGAAGTCTGAACTAATAGGAAGAAAACGAAAGATCCTAAAAATGATTACCACTTCAAGTTTTTAGATTCAAATGAATCTTCTAACACGAATTGGGGAGCCAAGACAAA